ACGGGACGTAACGTATCGGTATCACCTTGTAACGATACAGAATACGCTATGAATACAAGAGTATCCCGTCGATCGTTCGTATCGAACGGATACGGATGCGTATCGCCGATATGCATTGGTATGCAATGCATCCATTCAGTAATCTCCATAACCTTACACTCATTTAGAATTCGTTGCGTTTCCAAACCAATAAGCCATGCTACATTTCGTGATATAAAGTAAAATAAAATAAATTTTATTAACTTCTTCTATTCAAAAGCAATTTAAATAAAAAACACACATTCATATTTAACAACTCTAACTAAAAGTTAAAAAATAATATTTAAAAATAATCTTTTATAAACTAATAGAATAAATAATGTATCAAACCCACATTTATATAAAAATATGATTTTTAATATCAAGAAATTTATACAAATAGAATATCAATAGTAGAATAATTATTTTAATACTTAAAATTAATAAATTTGCACATGATATAAATCTTAAAATTTTTATATGCTTTTATTAGTTATTAACTAATATATTAATTTACATTAATAAGTAATAATAACATATTTTTTATTTACAAAAAATAAAAATATTATATACAAAATATTGAAGTATATAATATTAAATTGAATCTATCAAATCCACTAATCTACATTTATTTCAAAAAATGATTTTTTTTTTCATAAAATTTATATAAATAAAAATAGTAATAATGGAATAATTACTTTAGTAATAAAAACTATGAATTTGTACATGATATGCATCTTAGAAATTTTTATAAATTATTAATTGATATTTTAATTTGCACTTAAAATTTTAATATTTAGTTGACTTTTTCTTAATGTTAAAAAATGAAAAGAGTAAAATAAAAAGAATAATTGATATAATAATTAAAATATAACAGGTGCATATGTTTAGTGTCTTGGACCCTTGATTGATGCACTACAAATAAAATTATGCATCCCGGTTCATTAATCGTAATATATTTCTTCATATATATATCCTTAATATATACGTTTTTTATGTATTTATATACTATTTTGTGTTCATTTTGATCTTAAATTTAGTGTTATTAATATATTTATGAAATTTGTATGTATTTCCATAGTGTATCCATGTGTTTCCGAAGCATATCCGTACTTGTATTCATATCCAATTTGTCCGATACAATACTTGATACCGATACTTTAATTCTTGGATGCATCGGGGTGCCCACCTTAAAATTTTATTAACTATTATATTACAGAGGATTAAGTAGCCAACCTTGCCCCTAACCTAAGATACAAATAGCTCTCCCTTACAAACTCAATCCAGCCCATTGCAAACGCCCCAACATAAAACAAAGAATACATGGGAGCACTAAGCATTATCAAAGAAGCAGCAAACCAAACAAACAAAAGTAGAAGAAGCCACCAAACTAATCAATCAAAACAGAGGGAATTTAAAGATGATCTTCCCTGATCAAACTCAATAATGTAGCAGGAAAAGAATTAAAGAACTCCTATCCTCAAAAACTACAATTCTTTCTCCTTTCACGCCCAGGTTTGCTAAGAACTTAGAACACTATGCATGAATTTAATTTGCATGCTGCAATTTTCCTCATGATATATGTTACACTTGAGGATGCTGAATCTTATCCAACATAGCTTCAACAAGCAAGAAACTATCGCTTTTCTCTAAATCCAAAGTAAGCACTTGGATAATTCCACGCAACCCATCTAAATTCTTTGCTTTAATACAATGGGGATTTTATGGAGAGACGCAAAACATGAAGAGCAACAGAATCTGTATTTTTTTATAGAAGTTTATAAATATGAATAGATAGGGGATTTTATGGCCTCAAACTTTTAATTCTTGCTCAATCTGGGTAAGAATAAATAACATTTTAACATTAGAACATTTGGTTATAAAATTCTTGTCAGGGGCCTCATTCTTTTCTGAATGAAAAATAAACCCATAGTTTATAAATTAAGATAACCTGCAGCATGAAAAATAATCATGTCCCATTTTGCTCATTTTCATTCTTTAAAGAAATTCTATGCCAACAATTGTTTAGATCTACAAAACTGTTGCCACGAATGTTTATTAGCATATTGCTGTGGAAACTTACACCAATGGACATTGACTACCGGTTATCCATCAGTAAATATTTATGTTGATGGTTTTGGAAAATTAGGCGGCGGTTTATGCCCATTGGTAGAGTTTTTTGAAGAATGAAAATGAGCAATATAGGGCACTTGTAAATTTAAAAAAAAAAATCATATTTTAGGAAAAAATGTTTGGTTCATAACAATATTTTCTCATTCTGCCCATTTGTACTCATTCTTGTCATTTTTGAATTTTGGGTAAGAATGAGAAAGAATGAGAGTTGAACCAAACATGGTCATAGTTACTTTCTTAATTAATAAGAGATTGAGTTGCAAGACATATTGGATTGGACCCCATCCAGTCCAAAATCAATTTAAATGGGCCAACAAGACATTGGATTGGACCAATCCATTCCAAAATATTTATTACATTGGATTGGGCCTGGTCCGTCTGTAATAAATTTATATTGGATTGGGTTGGATTAAGCCAATATCTGGTCCATTGGCATAAGATAAGAATATAGGTGTCAACAATGGACCGGGTCTGAGTAGAAACCAATCGAACGGATTGGGCAGTCCAGACATTGAATTGGAATGGTTCAAAATATTCATTAGATTGGATTAGATCTGATCCATTTATAATAGATTCACAGTGGACTGGATCAGATTAGACCAAATCCAGTCCAATTGACACCCCTAGCCATAACACATGCAACAAATAGATGCTGAAAAGTCTTATTATATTGGATTATTACCGTAGCAAACACACTTAGAGACCATGGAAACTCCCTGCTTCCTAACATTAACAATCATCAACAAGGATTGACTTCACGCAAGAATTTCCACATGAAGAAAGAGGTTTTATCAAAGAGGCCTATATTCCACACAAATTTTATGCCACGAAACAATCGGATATCTAGATCTAATATCATTCCAAGCAGATAAAGTTGTGAAGGTCGTCCCCTTTTATATATGTTTTATGTGCCTTGGGTTGGGGTTGGGGTTGGGGTTGGGGTTGGGACTTTAAACTTGGACTGACAAGATCACTCCCCATTTAATTGGAGAACATGCATGATTTCTTCAGCCAATGTGTTTCAATCTCATAGATTAATGGACCAAAATCACTCCAATTATCATACCAGAAGGAAATTTTCCATTTATTGACTATTCACGAAAGTCACATCCTTAATTTTGATCATCTCTTTCCAAAATTTAGAGCATAGGAAATGAAGTTGCTTTGATGTATTACTTACTATTTAGAGTGAATAAATTTAGTCCAAATGTTGCTTTGGCCATTAGGCTGTATTTGGAAACGATGCAAATAAGTGCAAATGCAAAAATGTAAAGTGTAAAACGGTTTATATAAATTGTAAAATTGGGTTAGTTTTGAACTGACAATTTTCCCTTCTTACCAAACAGACTTTTAGTTGTAATAGATACAAATATGAATTTTAATAAAACATATGTTTTTCTTTTATCAAAAGCCCACTTGAATACAAATTTATTTCTTTTTTATTGATGTATTTTTACATCTTATCATAAATGTAAATATGCATTGGTCTTTCATTTGTCAATGCATAAACTAATGTTGTCAAATACGGACAAAAATGAACCAGCGTGCAAATTTACTCCAAACTGAGATTTACACTCCATTTGCATCGTTTCCAAACGCAGCCCTAAGAACTCTAAACCAAGCTTTCACACTGTAAACAATAATAACATCAAACAAAGATCTAATGCCCAAGCCGCCTTCCTTGGTAGGTTTACGGTTTTTTTTTTGCCAACTAATTATCCAATGCAGTATCTTTCCAAAATCTGAATTTCACCAAAGAAAATTAGCAAACATGGAGGCTATTTATTTTATTTTTTACTGCTTTGAAAGGAGAGACAACACCAATAGTATGATCAATAACTAAACTCTGTAATACATGTTTGATGAGAGTTACTTTACCGCCATTTTGACCAAAAACTTCGAACAAGTATGTGAAGGGAAATTGATTGATTCTAAGTTAAACCTATCACCTGTTTGATCAAGACCAAAAACTTCATAGTTTTGTAAACAATTAAAGCACAATTTCTCTTTGTTTTGTAATTACCAGAAGCCATTTCATAGACTGGAATGAAACGCATTAAATTCTAGAGGCCTCTTTTGCTTGATTTAGTAACAATTGTGTCATCTCTAAATAAAAGAGATCTTGTGACACCCTCTTCGCATTGAGTAATAAAGAACATGATCATTTACATAAATAATTTTCAGGCATCAAATAAGAACCTCTTAAACAATAATAATAATAATAACCTTAGGAGATAGAGTATCCTTGCTTCAAACCTATATAAAAGCCAAAATACGAAACAATTTATAACTGTTGCATATACACAACATTATTAAATCAATCCAAATGCTACTAAAGCCAAAGCTTTAAAAATCTAACATAATAAATAAGCTTTTGTCATGGTTTTGATCCACATTGGCTGCTAATATAAAAGGTGGAACCAAGCGATATAACTTAGATGACTAAAATCTAGTATTCGTGGGGAAAAGTTATTTTTGAAGGAAGTCTCTTAAGTCCTGTCTTTTGAGATTGGTCGGACCATAACTGCTAAAATGTCACAGAAAAACAGAAAGCCTTTAGTAATTAAATCTTTAATTAATATCCTCCAAATCTTGCCTTATATCAAATTCATACTTAAAGATATGCCATCTAAAAATACAACGACACGGAATTCATTACATGTCACAAAACAACTTCACCAAACAGGAATCAGTTCGTTGTAAGTAAAATATTGGAACGAGGTAGCTTCATGTTTTCGGGACAATTAATTCACTCGCAGAGTTGCATCATGGCGTCTAATGTAAGAGAATGAAAACCTCTCAACCAGAGCGATAGAATTAGTTTGAACCAACAAATAGTTTGAAACTGGTTAGAAATCAAACCAAAACGACTGAACCCATCGATTCTAAAGCTTGTATTATTACATTAGAGTGCTTTTCAGGATGAAACGCTTGCCGCTTTTATAATTTACAGGACAGAAAACAATATTTTGCAGCAAAAAGGATGGTAATAATCTTTTGTACAAACGAGTTATCTGGTCATTTAGCTTGTGGACTGGAGTCTGGGCTCTGGCCGGTCAACCAAGAAACATGGCAAATGGTTCGTACCAAGCCATCAACTGCTCCATTCCAACGCGTATGCACCACGCGTGGCAAATCAAGAATAACTTTTGGACGGTTGGGAGAGCAGAATTGTAGATGTCATCCAAACAGAATTGTCACCTGATCAGATACAGGAGGAAAGCAAAAGGCGAAACAAAAAGAGGTACAGGTGAGCCAAAAGCGAAACTATCAAAACTCAAGAGGTGAGCTGACTTCACGCTCAACAGAAGTACAAGACTAATCAATCCAGGCTACGTCTGGGTCTATCTCCATATCTGTCGGTCTCTTACACATTTCCACTCGCCACCACCATTCACCACGATCCACGATGTGCCACTTCCCGGAGGCAACCGGCACAGTAGCTCAGGTGGAATCAATCACAGTGAGCAGTTTGAACGGTTAATAACATGTTTTGATCATGGGATTGTTAAAAGCTAATCCTGTCAGCCACGTAACAAGAAAAGAAAAACAGAAAATCCAACTGTAAGCGAGAATTCTAACAACTGATCAGTATTGAACCGCTTGCACGAAATGATGGAAAGAAGAAAAATGAAGATTAAAAAAAAGTCAGGAAGACTAGGATTTTCTCATTCAGATTTCTGGCCAAATTTGTGGGTCGCATCATTTAAAGAGGAAAGGAAAAAAAAAAAAAAAAACAGGTCCTCTTTTGTTCCCCGTCCATAGATTGATTTCACTGCAGAAACATTTGTTTAGCACAAGTTTTGGAAAACTGGTATACTGCAAAAGGCAAAGGCATCAATAAAAAGGCCAGCACCACTATTCGAACGAAGTTGTTTTCCTTCATGCAGAAAAACAAAAGCAGAAGAGAAGAAACACCATTAGTAAATAGTAAATAATGTGTAGCACAAGTTTGCTGGGAGATATAACAAATACCACCTTGCTGTATTGTGGTCAGTTCGGCAAAATCTGCAAACAGAGATATATTGAGTTTGAGAAACAAAAATAACGAGATAACCAGGCAAAAACAAAATAAAACAGGGAAAAATGTATCTTCTAACGATTTAAAATCTCGCTACCAAACCATATCATCACGAGCACCAGCACCACCACCAGAACCGCAAGCTGCCGTCGTCATCGTCGTAGTCATCACAGATCCAGCATGAGAAAACGAGGTAGAAATATAGTCAAAGACAACTTGCCGATCGACTTCTCTACATGAAAGATGAAACCTTTTCTCCAGCATGGGAATCGTCTAACAGTTGCATGTTATGCTCAAAGTTAATTAAATACATTTTTTTTTTACTTCGCTAAGCATGTTAATACACAGACATATCCACTTTAATTATAACAGAGCCATGGTTTCAAAATGAAAGGAAACAACTGCTACACAGATATGTCGCCGGCAAGTCATCCTTGGCTGCACTACGATACCTCATTCCCACATGCAAGACCTTAGATGAATAATACCAAAAGTAAGATGAACCCAAATCATTGTGATCGTAACAGAGCACCCCACTAACCCCATTAAGGATTACTTCCCTCTTAGATTAAAACGGATATTCCAACGAAACCAACCAATCCCAACTCAGAGATGAAGAATGGTTTTTCCCAAAGGAGAAAGATCATAAGCTTTTGTTGAAGTAGAGGAACCCTCCTTTTTATTCCTACAGAAAGAATCGGGAAGGGGAGGAGGCGGCAAGACTGTAGAATCTGGTGGAGACGGGAGAAGCCGATTGGACTGAAAGCCCCCGTAGACAGGAGTTCGACGAATGAGACCTGGAGAGAGGGAGAGTGTCGAGCAGTGTTTATAAAGAGCGCTGGTTCCGCTGTGTAGCCGCCTATGGATTCTATCTTGTTTAGAGGGGAACAGGTTATGATCTGTTAGGAATTGGGCCGCTGGAGTTTTTAACCAATGGCACAAAAGAAGTAATGGTACTGATTTCAATGCTTCATGCCCTTAGATTTGACAGTGCATGGGTTGCAAAAACCAAGGGAAAACTAAGCCCAAGGATCTGTTGCTGTCAACCCGAGGGTCGAGCTGGTTTAATGCTTCACCCATTAAATAACCTAGGCTCATCAAAATTTAAAATGAAAAACATTAAAGATCCTACACCCCCTTCGCCTGTTTCTCTCTTTTGCAAAGAAAAAAGAAAAAAAAATATAATAATAATAAAGGCAATTCACCAGTTCTGCCTGTTATAATTTATAAGTGTGCACTTAATTACAGTTTTTTTAACATTTTCTAAAAGTTTCCTTTATTCATTTAAAACAAAATTTGATTTATGCTCTTTCAAATGACGCTGCAGACAGATCAGATCCAATTGGTATGCCTGGTTCAGATGAATCTTAGTTATAAATCAAATTCATTTGGGATATCTAATACTAATGATCAAAATATTTTTCATATTGTATATCAATATCATGATGAAATAACTTGAAAATAAGTTCTATAAGAGTTGATTGTATGACTTTTCCTATTAACAGAAGCATATTCTCCAGACTCCAGCTTCGAAAAAAAACAGAAGTGTATTTTCCTTACGTATATTAATATAAACATGTATTTCAAAATTGGAGCGGACCCATTTTGGGATCAAATTCAGATTGCCTTAATCAGATTCCACTTAGAACCTGAACAAACAGGTATAGTTTGCAGCTCTATATCCATTTACATTAACATTAACAATAGGAATGGATTTCTGACTCGTGTTCATTATGTTTCTTTCTAGGGGGTTTGGGTTCAGCATCAATGAATTGATAATAAATTTTCCATGTTGGGAGATCATAACATGTATATTTCACGCAACAAAAAATAAATCTTTAAAAAGTTAGGACAGGTTATATGGAAAAAGAATGAGGGGGGAGTAAACGAGAGTATGAAGCAGAAAACAGACATTTTTAACCAGATAACAGACAAACTTTAATGGGTTTATCACTTCACACGACCAGAGAGAGAGATGAGAGAAGTATTTAATGAAGCCCTAGAGATATGACAGACTGAGAACAAAAAAGTTTTTGGATATTAAATGGGCAGAGAGATAAAGAAGGGATAGTCGCAGAGCAGTTTTGGGTGGTGGATCTCGTGAACATGGTTATGGTGTAGGTATGGTGTGACATGGGCTCCTGTGGCCTTATACCTAACTTTGATTCCTCATGGGAAACTGATCCCATGTTCAGTTTTGTCGTCTCAAGTCTGAACTCTGAATTCAGCCTCCTTTTTCCTGCCACATTTGGAGGTACACAGCTCTTTTCCCTCCTCCTTTCAAGCTGTTCAACAACGTTCTACCTTCTCAAAATATATCCTCCAATTTCCAACTTATCTCCCTTCCATTGTCCCTGTTCATCACTTGTTTTCAGTAAAGCTCCAATGATCCAAAACCTTTTTCCATTTTTTTCGTTCGGTGGGAAAGCAAAAAAGAAGAAAATAAATGGATTTTATGAATATAAATTTCCAGAAACACATTTCTAGGATATTGTTTTCTTGTTGTTTGGTGGTCGTATGCAAAATAATGAGAAAAAACCATTTCTATCGTTTGCGTTGCGGTTTGACCCAGGAAAAACGGAGAACCAGTCATCCCTCTTTGAAGGATGGATTGTGCAGTAAAACCAATCAAACCCAGATCGATGAATAAACAAACTAAGAAGAAAACCTTCTTTTTTTTATTCATAGATCTAGTTCACAATGAAAATAAAGGTAAACAAGGTACGGTTGGCAAAGGGGGAAAGAAGATGGAAAAGGCTTTGAGACAAGGGTGCCTGGACTGAAGCCGAACTCAACTGCATGACTGACTGCTTTGTCATTCAGATAAAACATTAAAATTCATGAGAACCAAAATGGCTGAACCGCATGGTAAATTTGATTCCTGCAAAAAATACTAGGCTCCTTTCCATTTGGAAGACATGCATCCTATTTTATACAATAAATGTTAGCTTTAGAGTTAGGCTCTAAGGGTTTAGTGATTTAGGCATTAACGCATTAGGTTTTAAGGTTTTAATTTAGATTTTAGGATCTAAGGTTTTTAAAGTTTGGATTTAAGGGTTTTGGGATTTAGACTTTAGGGTTTAAGGGTATAGATTTTAGATTATAGAGTATAAGATTTAGGGTTAGTTTAGGGCTGTTCATAAGAAGGCCCAACCCGACCAATCCGGACCAACCCAACCCGAGTTGGCCGGGTTTTCATCAGCACGGGTCGGTTTCGGGTTGTGCAAATTCCTAAATCAATTATTCGGGTCGGTTTCGGTTTTCACACAAGAAAACCGAAACTGACCCGAACCGAACCAACTTAATTCCTATTTCAAACATGAAGTTCCAAAGCCCATTAGGCCACCTAGTTTTTGAATGGTTGCAAGAAACTTTGGATTAGTGAATCGTGATCAATGAACAACTTTTGTGATTAACTTTTCATTTAAATTTTATCATAGGAGATGGCTGAAATGATGTTCAATTTATGATTGTTTTTAAAATTAGCAAGATTTTATCATAGGGATGAACTTAGAACCGAAACCGACCAAAACCGACCCAACCCGATTCAAACCGACGAAGTCAGTTTTGCTTAACACTGGGTTGGTTTCGGTTTCTATGTTAGGTAACCCGACCAAGTCGGGTCGGTTGGGAAAACTATAGTAAACCGACCCAACCTGACCCGTGAACAGCCCTAGGTTAGCTTTTAGGGCTTAAGGGTTTAGAGTTTAGATCTGAGGTGGCAGGGCCATGTCCTCCAATGGGGTTGGAGGCAACTATTCCTCTATTCCACTATATCTATGAAGGCAATTCAATTAACATGTGGACATTCATGAGTGCCAAAATAGTTGTACCTGGATGGTAGGGATTTTAAGGCGATCTCCATTTGTGTCTTCTCTACTTCTCTTTTTTTGGTAAGAAAAGTAAGAGCAAAGACAAAACAACAGAAATGCAACATAAACACAAAAACAAAATAGAAATAAAGAAAACCTAAGCAACTAGTTACATCTGATAAAGTCTTTAGCAAAGGCTTCAGAAATGTCCATTGGAATTTCACACATAGATTTGAACAACTTCTTCCATTCACACTTAGTTGCATCTAGGGGTGTCAATGGTATTTGAAAATCTGATTTCGAATTCGATATTCAACATAATCAAATCAAATTCGGATAATTCAAATATCTAATCGGTCAAATTCGGATATGACTTGATTTGATTCGATAAATATCCAAATTCGATCGATTATTTAATTTTTATATATAATATAAAATATTTTATATAATTTATATAATAATTAAGTTATATAAATAATTTATATATTTATATACTTTCTATCAATAAAATATTTATTTTATATATTTATTAATTATCTAAATTAATTAATTAATCAAATTCTAATCAGATCGAATATTCAAATATTTAATTGGATTCGAATTTGGATATTAATTTCCAATATCCGTTGAATATCAGATTTTCTAATTGGATTCGAATTCGGATATTGCCTGATCTGATTCGAATTCAATCCGTTTACACCCCTAGTTCCCCTATTAGTAGGGGTGGACTTGAGCCGAGTCAAGCCAAATAGTACGAGGCTCGAGCTCGAGCTCAAGCTCGGCTTGAGTCAAAAACTTATAAGCTTGAGCTCGGTTCAACTTGAGAAAAAATGTTTTATAAAAAATAAAAAAATTATATATACACGAAGTTAATCTTTCCCCCTTGTTTAGGAGGTCAATCTCAAGGATTTTCTGAGCTGAGCTATAAAAGGGGGAAAATTAAGTTAATCCTTCTGTTGTTCCAACATCTATGCACATGATCAATTAGATCAGCTACCACAAGGTTTGCATTAACTGTTGACCGGGGTCCCATTGGCATGAAACCCTCAATGGTCTAAACCCATAGATCATCCCACACTTTAATATTAGCACCATTACTAACCCTCCAAAGAATACACTTCTCCAACCCCAAGATAGGCTACTTTTTAGTTCAACATGTAGAAAATGGATGTTTGGATAATACTTAGTTTTAAGAGTCCTAGCCCAAAGGCAAGATGTATCTGAACAAAGTTTACAGGCTAGCTTAACAAACAATGCTAAATTGAAAGAATGTGAATCTCTGAACCCCAACCCCCCATTTAATTTATTTTTGCAAATTTGATTCCATTGGAACCATCTTAATTTTTTCTTTTCCACACTATCTCCCCCACCAAAAACTTTTCTGAGATTTTTTCATTGACTCACAAGTTTTCTTTGGGAGAAGGAAGCATGACATGCAATAAGCCAGCAAAGTAGAGAGGACTGATTTGATCAATCTTCTTTTCCAGCCTGAGATAGTAGAGCTCTTCTCCACCCATTTGCTTTGCTCTCCACCCTTTCAGCTAGGTATTCGAAAGTCTAACTTTTCCTTCTTCCAATTAAGGGATGAGTACCTAGATAGAGAGAAGGTTTTTCTACTCTTTTAATGTGTAGACAAGAAGATACCAATTTTTTTAGTTTAGGATGTAGGTATTGGCTAAAAAAGACTTTAGATTTGCCATAATTCACCTGTTGACCAGATGCTCTTTCATGGAGAGATATGGAATCTCGAAGTGCGCCGACCTCTCTAATTCAGCTTTAGAGAAAATAAAGTTGTCAGCTGCAAAAAAAAAAAAAAAAACAAGTTAGATATTATTAGAGCCTGATTGCAAATTTTAATACCAAAAAACTCATTATGTTCAACTTTGTAATTCAGAATAGTAAAGAAAACATCAAAACAAAGGAGGAAAAGGTAGGGGAGAGAGGATCTCCCTGGCGTAATCCCTTCTTGGGATAGATCCTCCTGTTTGGGGAGCCATCGACTAGAATTTGATATGTGACAAAAGACACACAAGTCATGAC